CATCACGACAAGTGGCATCGACATCTGTTGTGTCCGTTATTGCCATGATACCGCTATCGCTAGTGTTACCGTCATTACGAGTCTTATTGCCAATGGTGCTGTTACTATCCATCTTCATCGTCGTCCTCATTCTCATCATCGCCATCATCGTTAGCTGTCACCTCTTCAGCCCTGATATTACCGCCTTCTGAAAGACCCGTTTCTCCAAGGGCAAAAGGAGGGACCCTTATTGGGGACCCCTACCCTATACTGGACCATATAATGGGCATATATAATCGCTATATTGAACTTCCATATACCTAGGGGTGCGTATTAAGGGTTCCTCCTTTTACACTTTGAGTTTCGAGTTTCGACATCTTCGAGCCTGGTGAAGCTAGGACATGGCACCCGACCCCTTGGTGTAGGGCTTCCGGGTCGAGGGCTTCTTTTGAGAACCGTTTTCCAGGGTTTAGGGTTTAGGGCGCCAACCAAAAGCGATAGTCCGTAACCCCAGACTCTCAACCTAAACCTGATCCCTACAACTAGGCCATACACCTTTTTAACCCCAAACTCTCGACCTAAACCTGATCCCTACAACTAGGCCATACACCAAGCCCTAAACGTGAACCTTGAACTTACCCTCAGGGCCCATGTGCCCAAGTCGTGTACACATTGGCCCCAGAGTACACCCTGCACGGCCCTAAACCCTTGTGGAACCCTTAAAGGAACCCTATTTGAGTACATGGACCCTTACAGTCATAGCCGGAAACCCACAGCCCTGAACTCGACGCACCAAGGATCAGGCTCTAGCCTCGGGAGGAGACTCTGCGGTGGAGATCCTGTGGAATCCCAGGACCCCCCCCCCGCGAAGGGCCCTTTAATAGTGTCCTTACCCCAAGGGTCCTTTAAAGAACCCAAGAATTCAGGTACTCGGTTTTAGGATAGCAGTTATGTAGGTTAGGATTTTTGGAGAGTATATGATTATCAGGGACTCGGACTCTTGGGGTTATAGCCCGTAATACTGGGTATGTGGGGTATATTAGAGGGTAGTTTGGGGGGTATGGGTCCCGATCTGAGCTTTTACGAAACCGGGGTTTTAAACCCTAAACCCTAAAACCCTAAACCCTATAAACCCTAAACCCTAAACCGGGCTTATATTTCTTGGGAGCCCTTTTACGCCTGAAGGGCTTTCGGGCTGGGATTTGATGCTTCGTTGCAATGTTCAGGCTGTGGGGTGGAGCGTGTTGGGCGTGCGGCGGATAAAAGAGTCTTGCAATCAAAGTGTCCTACTCCATTGTTAGTTGTGGGGGCTGCAATATAGAGGCATAAAAAATTGAGTTGTGCTTCGGGGTAAAGTCTAGAAGAGGACCCCCAGGGCTGACGCCAACGCTGCCTCGGTTTCGAATTTCGGGGTGCAGGGAATTCAGGGGTTTTCAGTTTAGGGCTTATATGGTTTAGGGTTTAGGTTAAAGTTTAGGGTGTCGGGTTGGGCTTAGGATTTGAGGATTTAGCGTTTCGGGTTTAAGGCTTTCGCATCGCGGTTTTAGGCTTTCGGGTTCGGGTTGAGCGTGTTTTCGTTGCAAGCGTGTGAGGAGCATCGAGGATGTGGCGGCCAAGGCTTCGGAAAGAAAGACTGCTGTTGAACAGATCGGCCTGGTAAACCCACTGAAAACTATCGAAATACACCCCAAAGTCTTAAAGTCTTGCCTCAAACTCTTAAACCTGTTCGCTTTCGGGCTTTCGGTACCTCCTGTTTTGAAACTCCATACACCAAGGCTTACGGCTTCACCCGAAATATCAACCAAAAACATCAGCTCTGAAACCCTGGATACAGTGGCGCCTCAAACAATTAGACTTGGATGTTGGGCTTAAAAGCAGTCAATAGGTTCCGGCTCCTAGAATAGCTTTACTATGTATTCTTTCCCCCTACAGAAAAACCCTACACCGCCAATTATGCGGCGGCCTCGGCGAGAAACGACAGCTAGGTTCTGGTTCGGCTTCCGCCTCAGCCTTCCGAAGAGTAGAGGTAAACAGGAAGGCGCTAGCTAACACCATCCTTGTGTAGTCCTTATATACTTCTACGTAGTCTTAGAGTAGTTAGTCTAGCATAGTTTGCCGCAAAAACCTATTGTAACGCATAGCCAATGTTACTGCATGGGGGCGGCAGTATCCAAGGTTCATTTATGCAATGACGAAAAGCCGGATCTGTTGCTTTGTGGGTTACCCACAGGCCGCATAATAGTTTCTTTTTGGGATTACCTTTATAGAATTCTACATATGAACCACAAAAAGGAACTACTTTGGGGCCTATGGCTAGCCTTGTGTATGTATCCGGGCGGCGTAGAGCACGAATCCAAAAGATCTGGAATGGCATGTGCCCTGTCTTGAAAGTTTGCAGTAGAAGCCCAAAAGTTGGAAACTCAATAGCCCCGATCCATAAGAGTAATGTATAGGGAATCCCAGCACTATTTGGCCTTGATGCGGTTTCCAACTTTATGGGGTTTACTGTAGGATTGAGCTGAGGGTTTCGATTTCAAGGATCAGGGATGAGGGTTTAAGATTCAGGGCTCAGGGTGTAAGGTTTAAGGTTTGTGGCTTAGGAATTGAATGCAAGGTTTCGGGGACATTAAGACGGCGATATCGCCTCCGCTGCTGTCAAGCAAGCCGTCAGAAATACAGGATTAGGACAACGTATGGACGCGGGGGTATATGTTCTTGTCAGAATGTCATGTCTGTCTTCAGTCTTTGCTCGCTCTGATTATATCAAGCTGAATTCAGGTCTCTGAAGAACAAGGTACGAGTTCCTCGTGTAGGGTTCACTCATTATGAGGATCCTCACATTCATAAGCGTCTATCTTTGGATCCCCAATTTCCCACTAATACTCTGAACCACAAGCCCTGGAACCTAAAATCCCCAAATCCCAAAAATCTGGAAATTCCCACGAGGACCCCCAACCACAAGCCCTACAACCCTGGAACCTAAAATCCCAGCAAAACCTTCAAGCTGTTCATCAGTGAGTCCCTTCATCCCTGGCACTCCCGTATCCCACTAAGTCGACACAACAAGCGCTCGCAAGGCCTGCCGGGGCCTCCTGCGCTGAGATTCGATGTTGGATGTCCGGTTCAGGGTTTAGGACGTCGGATGCGCTGAGATTCGGTTTTGGGGATCCGGCTCAGGGTTATGAAGGGGGTCTGATGATGGTTTGCGGGGCGTCGGGTTCAACGCTTTCAAGGGCCAAGGCTTATAGGGTCTGGGCTTTGGGACTCTGCTTCAATATGGGAGTTTCCAACAAATGGGGAACCCTAATATATTACCCCAAATAGCAGGAGCCTTATTATAAGGGCCCTAAAATAAGGTACACCTAAGTTTAGGAAACTCCCATATTGCTCTCAAGGTTTTGCGGGGTTAGAAGCACAGTTACACCGAGGACAACCCAAATTTTTGGACTCCTCGTACCACACTTACTCAGAACCTCTAGGGAAGGTTTGGGCTGTCGGGCCAAGATTCTTAAGTTTCAGCCGTCCGGCCGTAAACATCCCAGACCTCTATACACCCTCAGCACGAAATCTTAAACCCTCCATGGAACCAGAAGCCTCCCTACAGCCTCAACCCAGAGTCCCGTCGACCCTGGCATCAAAGCATTTCGGTTTAGGGGTTTCGATTTTAGGCTCTAGGTTGGTTAGAGTGTAGTGCTGCAGTAGAATTGGAGTTACGGTCCAGGCTATGCTTCAGAGCTGCGGTTCGAGGTACATACAGGTAGGCCTTGGGCATGTTCACAACATTTCGGTTTAGGGTTTAGGGTTTCTCCATCTTCAGTCGGGTTAACACATCGGTTTGAGTTTAGGGTTTCGGCATAAGCCTCCTTGACGACACATCCTGCATTCAAGCTTGCAGAGCCATAGGCTTGAAGCCCAAACCTGAAATCCAACTCCAAAACAAAACCGCATGCAAACCCCAAATACTGGAGCCCGATGCACCCGACACAACGGTACTGAAGTTGTGTGGGGTCTCGACCTAAGCCACGGCTTCTTGAAGGATCCTGCGACTTAGTAACTGTTTCTAGGGTTGTAATTTAGGTAACCGGTAACCATACTTACAACTACTTACAACCCCAACTAAGGTACTTATAACCTAGCTTTCAAAGTCCCCTGATCCCTCAAGTTTGCATGCAAGACAGCCGAAGGCTGCTTTTTCGTGCTTCGACCGCCGCTGTTGAGGGTATGGCCAAACGCCACAACCCATCAGAGGCCTCAGACATTAAACAGTTCCTGAGGTCGGAGGCCTCAAAAGGTGGGATGAAGGTAGGTGGGATATTCTCAAATAAGAGTCCTTGTATATGGGATCCTCAATCCTACCTACCTTCATCCCACCTTTTGAAGCCTCCGATGAGGAGATCCCATAACCACGAAACGCTAAAACCTAAACCCCTTAAGGCCTGAATTCCCAACCGAAATCCCGGGGAAAGCCCGGCTTCCCAAAATCCACAGTGCCCACAGCTCCTTCAAGTTTTCAGGGTTCCAAAAAGGGCTTCCATTAAAGAATGCTTCGTTCTTGGGATTCTACTCTAGGGGTTGCACAAGTGCGCGATGTGCGACATGCTATTTTGTGCAGTTTTGACTTGTGGTCTGAATTTAAAGGTGCTGGTGAGGCTCTCTGGGTCCCGATTGAAACCCGGGACCAGCACCGCCGTCAGCGTTGCAGGCGCAACGATATCAAGACACTTCGAGTTCCCCACAAAAGACTCGCTACAAGGGTTGAGGGTTCAGGGTTCATGGCTTGCAGTTTGAAGTTTAGCGGTAAGGGGCAGTATGATGTGATTGCTTTTCGCGCCAACCCCTCACATGTACGCATGTGTACATATATACATATACACACACCTACATGCACACGCATGCCATGTGCGTACATATCTATATATATATATATATGATATATATATATATATATATATATATATATGTATGTCTATTTATTTATTCGTACTTATACCTCCAGGGAACATGATCATGTAGGCGGCAACTCACAACTTCGCGGCACGCGCCGCCAACTCGAGCATGATCTCTTCACCTCTGTATCGTGCGCATACATGTAATCAATCATTGAGGATCCCTATAATTCTGCCGAAACCCTAAACCGTACAACCCTGAATCTTTCTAACACCAAAAGCGCAAAATCGTCGGAACCTAAAGGCGAAGGGTCCAAGCTTGAAGGCATGGGTTTGGGGTGCGTGGGTTTAAGGTTCCGGGCTTAGGGCGTGTACTTACGATCGCGGAGGTTAAGTTGCAAGGCGTCGGGTGCTCTGTTCACGGCGCCAACGTCAGACTTTAAAGCTTTGTAGGGCTTTGCGACTTGAAGTGGGCTGAAACAAAATAATAAAAGTTTCAAAATTTCAAGGACGACTCTATATCTGCCACACCAGTATACCCGAACCCCTGAAGCCCAAAACCCCGAATTGAAGCTGCACATTTGAGAAAACCCTGCATTAAAGCCCGAATATTTGGTCACGAAGCCCCAAGACAACACCCAGAATGACCAGGAGACTCGAGTTTTTGTAAAGCTGTGGCCCGGTACCCGAAACCCAAAGTTATTCTTCCAGGGACTCTGTGTAGATCTGTCTGGATCCGAATCGGCTGAAATCACGAGCCTCCAAATACTCGTGAGGTGATCCACGTACTTCATGCAGATATTTCCAAGGTTTCGCAATTACAGACATTCCAAAATCGATCATTTTTAGGCCCATAAGACCTCCCGTGGCGCAAGATCCATCCTTCTGACTCCGTGGCATCTACAGCTACAGCTACACTCCACACCGAAGCTGGAAATCTAGAGTGGCCAAGAAGGTCAATACAAAATACTCCTACATACTGATAAGAATGTAATAACAAAAATAGCAATAATGCTCCTACTACTGCAGCGACTATGGAATTAGGTACCCCCCGAACCGTGATGACGATGGTATTGTGGGGCTTAGTTACATGTGGACCCAGGGATCTACAGCTCAGATCTTGGATTGCATTATAAGGATAGCTGGGCCTAAACCAGACGAGGCTACATTCAGCACCCTGCACTGCTCCATTTTGCAACGGAGAAGCTTCCTCCGCCAATGGCATAGACGCGGACCTCGAACGGGTGAGGGAGTCTAGGTCTTAAGAGTGTTCAGGGTTTAGCATCAGGATTTTGAGGTGTGGCTTCGGGCTTGTGGTGCATCATACACTCAACGACGATTGCTGGATTTTCTTGAGGAGCCCCACAGACATTCTTCATGAATCCCACCTCCATATAATCCGAAGACGAAAAGATATCAGTTGACAAACACCCAGCTGCCACCCTAAACTCCTAAAGAGCCCTAAACCCTGCACCCCAGAACCCTAAACCCTAAACCCTAAACCCTGAGCCACGGGGCCCTAATGCCCTGGCCCTGACGTTTCGAGCCGTGCCCCTCGCTGGCAACTCCGAGGCCCACCATTCAAAAATGGTTTAGGGTTTAGGGTTTAGGGTTTAGGGCTCGGACAAACCAACAAAACAACTTTACCTAGGAACTACTTACTGGGGCTTTCAGGAATCCCGTGGGCCTCTAGGTGGCCTGTTAGCCCCTCCCCCCCCCCCGCCCCCTCGCCCGAGTCATATCAAGCCCTCGCACACCTCGCGCCAGCAGCGTTCGATGCGACCGCCGGGCTGCGAACCCCGCAGGTAGCCTTGGCTTGTTGTTCCTTTCAGCGACGGTTTAGGGTTTAAGGTTTAGGGTTTAGGGTTTAGGGTTTATAGGGTTTAGGGTTTAGGGGTGCCGGGGGGGGGGGGGTTGAGGTCTGGGTTTAGGGCTTGCGGGAAGGTTCGTCACAGCCTGCTGTTCTGCAGGCTCTCATAACAAATCCGAAGACAAACTTACTGAACACTATGCACTCTGCAATCTTCTGTGAAGTGCGGCTCATGTTCCAAAAACAACTATAGTCTTCAGAGTTCGCTTTACAGCTGTGGCACAGACACCCCGAAAGCATATGCAATCCGATTCAAGAATGTCAAACCCTTGCAATCCCAGGAGCAAAGCATCGGTGGGGCCCGAAAGCCCCTCCCGAAATGCAGACAACCTATAGTCTCCAATTGTAGAAACAGTGACGTCGACATCAATGAATTGTAGTTCCATTTAAGGGTTACCTTTGTAGGATCCTATATATATATATATATATGGGTACCCCCCTATATGGGGTCCCCTGGGTTTTTGCACACCACACCCAAACCATTAAACCATTAAACCATTAAACCAATCCTTTGGGCCCATACCACTAAACCATTAAACCATTAAACCATTAAACCAATCCCTTTGCCCCATACCACTAAACCATTAAACCATTAAACCATTAAACCATTAAACCATTAAACCAATCATTTCCCCCTATAGAGAGGGACACATCCCTGTATGGGCCGAAAGCATTGGTTTAATGGTTTAATGGTTTAATGGTTTAATGGTTTAATGGTTTAATGGTTTAGTGGTTTAGTGGTTTAGTGGTACGGTGGCATGGAGCCAAAGGATTGGTTTAATGGTTTAATGGTTTAATGGTTTATTGGTTTAGTGGTATAGTGGCATGGAGCCAAAGGATTGGTTTAATGGTTTAATGGTTTAATGGTTTAGTGGTTTAGGTACATGGGGGGGAATGATTGGGTTAATGGTTTAATGGTTTATTGGTTTGCCCTGCAAGGTATGGTCCTCAGCGCCTATGTGGCGAGACTCCGGCATAGACTCTACTTTTATTTATTTCCTAAATTATATGAACCCTTGATTCTTATGTTATTTTCCCTTGGTTTACTACTATTGTTATGCTATTTTGCGCCTCGACTGCATTATGACGACGACGACGGCACGGTTATAACTGTAGGCTTCGGTTATAACCGACAGGCTTTCTGAACATCTTCGCATTCATATTGCAATGTTTACGAGATCAAGCTAGAAAGTCCCTGTTTAGGTAGTGTTTGAGCAGCATGAAGCGAGCTGCTCATGTAGCTGGTCTCATGGAGATTAGCGGCAATGGCAAGTGCATTCTAGAACTGCGACAGATAGCCCCGTCCACGGTGAGTGAGTCTAATGGTGCAGCATCTTCCAACGAAATGCGGGTGCCAGACTCTGCAAAGCTTCTTAGTGATGTACAAAATGGAGTAGTGCCAGTCCATAGTACCAAAGCCAGCGTCACGAAGAAGGATATCCAGCAGTATATCAACTACCTTCAGCGTGATGCGGGAATACTTCGAGGAAGCAACGGAGCGTGGAATAATGCACTCCAACAACGACTATATGCATGGCTACTCAAGGAAAAGAAGGGCGCAAAGACCAAAGCGATTATGGACAAACGCTCTGACGTGGACGACAAGCAGAAGGACGTTGTGGACAAGAAGCACAGCCATAAGGATAAGGACGTGGACATCTACATCGCGGACAACGACAACAACAACGGCAATCAGAAGAACAAGGACGTGGACAAGGACACCGTGCACAAGAACCAGGAGGACAAGGACGTGGACAAGGCCATCGTGGACAAGAACCAGGAGGACAAGGACATCGTGGACCCGAGCCAGGCGAACAAAGACGTGGACAAACACAACGCGGACGAGAACCAGAACGGCAACCATAACCAGAACCAGGAGGATGATGATTCGGATTCTTCTTCATCTTCGAGCTCCAGTGATTCGAACCGCCCGCTTCCCGTAGTTGACACCTCCAGCTGGAATTCCGATTGGCACGATACGTGGGAGCATGTTCTTACCCTGTCCAACCAGGTTGATTCTGGACGCAAGCGTCGCATCTTGATTTCAATGCTCCGTACCATCGCCCAATGCCATACACAATGGCACGAGGAGCGTTAATCGCCATGCAGTCGTTCTGTCTTCCCGCGAGCCAGCTTGAAAAAGTTTGACTTTGCATTGGTTGCACTCTTGAGCCGCCTTGATTGCCAAACACATGGTTATCATCCTACATTGCTCATTGATGATGGTGTGGCTCCAAGCAGTTCGTAGAAGCATGTGTTGTCACACATTCATCGAGCTTAACACAAGATAACAGCCAACAGACAAGGTTATAACCCACACGTCTGGTTATATCCGCCGTCTTGCACACAAACTTGTCTGTAGTCAAACCTCCTCGTCGCGCCAATGGACTCCTCTCTCGCATACAAGCGTGCCCTGCAGGAGATGACAGTCTACGACTTTACCCAAGTCGATGTTCCATTGATATCGCGGCAAGATGATGCCATGGGTTGCCTGCAGGATTTGCCTTTGAAAGATATGGAAGGCCGTTACCTCGCCAAGATGGTCATTGACTTGGTGCCGGATATGGTATGGGAGTCTGTGAATTTCCAACAGTTGGAAGAATGCATGATGCAAAAGCATTACAATGAGCTCCCTCCTCCATTTGGCCCCAAGGTGCTTATCTCAATGCCGTACAAATTGCAGATTGCCATCGTGAAGACGAGCCTCACACACTGCACCGTAATCAAGTACTACTCCTTCGACCAGAAAGTCAATATACGACTGGTTGAAGACATGGCATATGGCACTTTGAAGTTGTTAGACTTCACTCCCAACTTCCGTGCCGGACCTTTGGCTATACAGCTCATGCTCAAGCAAATGTCGCACTGGTTTGCCCACTACATTCAAGTGGTACCAAAACCTGCCAAGGAGTCAAAGCCCAAGCAGAACACAGACGACCTGCAGAGTGGCTTTGCCTACATCAAGGCCAACGGTCCCAGAAGCAACATTGGTAATCAACAAATTGAATGGGCTGTAATTGAAACCCGGCGGACCGACAGTCCACTTCACGGATGGTCAGCTGGATTGGTTAAGGAATGCCTGCGAGGGCATGCGAGTGGGATCGTGTATGCGAAGACTATGAACGACTTCTATCTGACTCTGCACGACCTGGCCGCCTGGTTCTTAGACGACGTTGTTGTTGAACTTCTTGGAGATCTCAAGTCAAAGACCATTGTTTTCCTCGGCTTGGCTGAGAAAGGGAAGACACCGGCAGCGCAAGCTATCGCCATGGCAGTCAGTGAGTACTACATTCTGCGAGACAACAAGGACGATGGCATTCAGCCGGGTTTCCGTATATGCTCTTCTCTTGATCAATTGCGAGGAGAGTCGGGCGAGAAGTATCGTCCAGACATCCTTGATGATCCAGACATCAACATGGTACCAATCCCTAAGTTGAAGAGTTTCCTCGACAGCTCTCTCGCAGAATGCCACACAGTTGAGAGATGGACAGCTGCAAGGTTTGTACAGAATCAGTTACGCATACTTTGCGATAACAAGATCAATGAGAATGCGGAGCCTCCAGAAAGCAGCGGCCTCACCACAGACTTCGACATCTTCTACGACATGATCAAGCCAGCTTTTCACGACAAAGCGAACCTCCAGGACATCATGGCATGTTTAAAGCGTGCTCACTTTGTTGTCAACATGAACCATGCCATCTTCATACGGAAGGCCGGAACGACCAAGGACCCGGTCATGCGTGTGCCTTATGTGGATGGGATGCGGGATTTTCTTAGTGAAGATGGAAAGTCTGTGATTCGCTACATGCAAGACGGCAACAAATGCCCCCCGACAAACTGGGTGCAGAAGCGACAATGGTCGCACGATCTTATGACTTTGATCATAGAGACACAGAAGAAACCTCCCCGGACGAAAACAATTATCTCGTCAGCTACCTTCGCTGGTGGTTCCAGAACGCGCAAGGAGATCAAGCCTTCACTTCCATTCTCTGGCCGTGTTTGTCCCGCTTTCATTGCTCAGGATCAGGCACATTCCTCAGAGAACATGGTAAAGCCCATATCATCGGAGGCGCCGGGTACATCTTCAGATTCCAAGTCTTTGCAGTCAGAGGTCCCATCTTCCAAGGCGTCGGTCGACCCGACAGAAATCAAGGAAGAGCTGGACGACGACAAGAATCGCTTTCACATGATGCTCTCCAACCCGGACTTTAACACTGTCATCGACTTGGATCCTACTCCAACATCGCCACCTCCAGCCAAGCGGCCACGCTCTACGACAACGGATGAGGTTGATCATGATGACAACGAAATGGATGTCGCAGACGACGATATTCTTCCTCGTGTCGGTATGAATCCGGAAGATTGACGGGCAAGAGAGAAGGACATGTGAGGTTCAAGCAAGTTCAGCTTTCTCTTGTGGACATATCCATTAGAGATTTTGATGATAGCTGTACAGTAGACCCGCACGCATCCAGCTACACAGTCACCAAACAAAAGCAAGACAGTGCGAATGCAACTGTGACGATGATACTGGTGTTGACAGAATCATGAGTCACATTTCCCTATCTGTCCGCTCCTCTGCAAGTATTCTGTGTAGAACCTTTGGGCTCACAGGGTAGAGGATCACTATGCCGCTGCTCCCTAGAACTGGTGGCCTGCATGGCAAACCGTTGGAGGACATTACTTTCATCGAGTTCCAGAAATGTATGTGTGAAGAGTGGTTCCAATCAGACACTCATTTCCGTCACTACATGATCCAACGGCGAGTTTTAGACGAAGATGGACAGAATGTTAGCTTGACTCTCAGATCCATTGCGGTGTTCCTTCGCACTGGCATTATATTGGGAATGCACAAGTGCGTCGAATGCAGCGGGCCAACACGGCTGGAATGTTCCAGCTCTGACAGCGGTGTCAGATATCGCTGGACATGTAGAACAAGTGGGCACAAGCACATGAACCAGTCCGTCAACTCGTGTGGTGTTCTCAGCAAGGTCAACATCAACAACTGGATGCCCTTCTTGCACATCGTGAACATGCTGCGCCTGGGGTTGCCATGGGTTCGCATCACCGAGGAAATGCGGGCTGGGTATGGCAATGTGAAGGACGACACTATGTTGGGATGGCGTCGATTATATCAAGGAAGCCTGGGGAAGGCCCTCGTGAACATGGATCAGATGAAGATTGGAGGCGCCAACCACACAGTCGTCATCGATGAGTGTTTGGTTGGGACCCATCCGGAGGATGGATGGTCCTTGAGCAACCGCGGCATCAACAAAAACGTCGCTCATGAACAAGAACGGACTGATGGACGACATGAAGCTACTTCTATGAAGGTTGCCAAGGGTAGCATGAAGGTATTCCCGGCTCGCACTATCAAGAAAGGTGAACGCAAAGCGTTGGGGTCATTCGCTTTGATTAAACGCCCTGCAGCATCCATGAAGCGTCCGTCGGCATCTACTTCCATGAAGCGTCCAGCATCCTCTACTTCCATGAAGCGTCCAGCATCCTCTACTTCCATGAAACGTCCTTCCGCATCGGGCTGCCTCAAACGGCCTTCCGCTCATCGTCGTCCTCTTCGTGTTCTGAAAAAACCGGCTGCTAATCTGAAGCTAAACGGCAAGTGGTTGTGGCTTGCCGTGTGTGTAGGTCGCGGAAATCAAGTCTTTACGCATGAGAACGGTCTAAAGAAGATCACATACAGACTTTTACCGCGTGCTTCCAAAGCTGTGAATAACAAGCCCCGCGGTTTGTATGAAATTCGTGACACGCTTCACAGCCGGATATACAAAAAGAGTATACTGGTCTTTGATGGCTGGACAGCTACTACACAAGCGGCTGATCAGCTAGGGTATGCCCATCCGCCATCTGTGAAGCACCATAAGTGCTTCAGGGATTCGGATACTGGCTTTCATACGAATGACGCTGAGTCAGAGAACAATCGCTTGAAGCGATGGTCTCGTCAGCGGCACGGTCGTCTGCATATCGAAGAGTCTGATATGCAAGAGTACATGTTCTATGTCAATGTAGGAGGCTCCATGATGTCGGTGCTAGAAGGTTTAGCACAGTCGAGTGAAAGTGGCAAATGCAGAAATCGCATTGTCACGCTTTGAAGCACTAAGGCAATCTCTGCAGTGAGAATGGGGTAGAAAAGACACACGGCTAGAGTGCTCCAAGTCCAGCTCCGACAGCGGTGTCAGATATTGATGGACTTGTCGAACACGTGGACCTAAGCATATGAACCATCCCGTCAACTCGTGTGGATTTCTCAGCACATATGCAACGGAACACGTTGAACACTTTCCTGATATCCAAGGTGCCTATATTGTCGACATTGCCATCGAGCTGCTCCAGCATAATACTATATTCGATAATGTATACCTGATTATGAATCAGTTGACTGGTTATAACCTAGTCGGCTGGTTATAACCTAATCGGCTGGTTATAACCTAGTCTGCTGGTTATATCTCAGTCAGATGATGTAGCGAAAAACGTAGGGGACCCCAAATAGGGGTGCGCCCATATATATATATATTAATATTAATATTAATATTTGGTTGAACCAAAAAAGGAACTACAATGGAGACTATAGGTAAACCATCTACCAATTTAAACACCAAGCCGAAAAGCCACGACCAAGGCCAATGCCACCCCAGCAACAAACGCAACCCAAGGCGCTGCGACCTCCAAGCACTTGCGAGGCTTCTCGTGCACAGAACTCCTTGGGAAAGCTAACTCTGGCTTTCAGTGTGGGGTTTGATTACATGATTGATTTTCTTCTTGGGGCTTTGGGTTTAAAGGGCTTCTAAGGTACGTAGTTTTTGTTTATTGACTTCTTGGGCTTCGAGGTGCAAGGCTTTTGTAGGACGTTCTTTCGGATACTTGGGGGGTGCGAGGTGGAGGGGACGTTTTGGGCGGAAGGGTATGTTTGCACATTCTTTATGCGTGCAGAAAAAACCGTCCACATCAGCACTTACAAGCAACGAATCGTGTCAAGGCATATAGGTTGCCTGATAGAACTGATTACGGGACTGTGACTCCCAGGGGGTGACCAAAGCCAACATACAATGAAAAGCCCACTCTATCCTGGAAGGCCTAGACCCTCCATCTACCCTCTATTAGACCCTAAATGTCCATTATTTGGGGCCATATACCCCTATTTGAGGGTACAAGGAGGATCCTGGGGCAGATGTCTCTCGTTGCAATCTGCCTTGTCGCTGACACCTGGTCGTTGGCCTACCCCCTCCCTTGCAAGCTGCAGGGATAGTTATGTTATCTAAACCCTAAACCCCTAAACCCTTAAACCCCTAAGCCCTAAACCCCTAAAACCCTAAACCCCTTATCCCGAGCACAGGAACATATAGTATATGTCCAAAGCAACGAGAGGATGACACATCTTCCCCCGCTAGCAGCGGGGGCAGAGGTAATATGAAAGTCAATCTTAGGACCTTAGGACTATTGCCATTGCTAGAACTGATAGAAGCACGATTGTAATGTTGTTCTTATGTTTCCCTTCTTTCCGCGATTTCAACTTGCAGTCAATTTACCTTACCCCATAAGACACAAAGCCTCAACCCTCAAACCTAAACCCTAAGCCCGAAACCACAAACCATGAGCCCTAAGCTCTGAACTTACTATAGGGGCCTCAAAAATTACCCATACCATTTTGGGGGTACCTTATCATAACTTTAATATATAATATACCCCAAAACCCTATTCTAATCAGTAAGGCCCCTACAGTAGAAGCCAGAAAGTTGGAACATGGCTTTAGGAGGATTAGTGCTAGGATCCCATATACTTTACCTTAAGGGCATGAGGAGTCTGATGTTCCAACTTTCTGGCTTCTACTATAGATTACACCCAGACCTTCGGCCCAAGTGTCCAGCGTGCGGGATGCCTGCACTTTGGCAAGCGCCACCTGCCCAGCCACACGCTGCGCAGATTCGTTGGAGTGCCACGCGCGGGAGACTTCCATCAGAAGCCTCGGTTTGGGATTTCCGCGTTTCCGAAACTAGGCGACCCTGATTATAGTACCCCAAATAGTAGGATCCTTTTCATAAGGACCCCTTAAAAAGGCACCCCTAATTTTCGGAAACTCCCATTTGGGGACGAGGACTCAGGGTTTAGAGAAGAGGACTTACGGTTCAGGAAAGAGGACTTACGGTTTGGGGAAGAGGACTTAGGGCTTAAAGAAGAGGACTTAGGGTTCAGGGAAAAGGACTTACGGTTTGGGGAGGCTTAGTTCAACTTTAAGCCTAATTAAAGCCTAAACCTTATCCTCAAGGGTCTATGGAATATAGGTTTGACTACATGTATCTTTGGGCTTGCAAGGCTTGCAAGCTTCTAGGTTTCGTCACACAGGGGTTGCTTTTTTCCTGGATCTATGGTTCGAAAATTTGGGTTTTAGGATCCAGAGGCTGGGTGTCACAGCTAGTTGGTTAGTTAAGCTCGGGAGAAGAAGAGACCATCACCAAGACTAAGCCATTCAAACAGCACCACCGACGGACGTAAGACCGGCATCTCATACAGCGCGTTGATAACCCCTAAGGGTCCAAGTACTCCCTATTATAGGACTTTAGGGCCTTTTCGGGTATCAAAACCCATAAATATGGACTACTGGGACCCTTAGGGAACTTGTATAAACTTGAATAGGTTTTACGGCATTGTGGTCAGACCGGAGCTGTAATACATCTAACGTAAGCAACCACTGGCCATGAAAACCATAGCATACCATAGCACTGCTGTACAGCCGTAACTACAAAACCCCAAACCCTAAACCTTAAAGTCTAAAGCCTAAGCTTTCATGCTCTACGCACCACACAGACGCCCTTGAAAGTAACGAAAAGCAGTTGAGAAGCGAATGCGTGGCCAGTACCAGCCGCGCCATCTCGGACAGCTTATGCCGAATGACCTTCAACCCTCAGAGGAACCCGTATAGGAACCCTCATAATTAGGCGACCCTGTGAACGAGGGTCCGCTATGATTACCTTCCAGCCTTCCAGCTAGCTTTGCCTAAACCTCCGGCCGTGTTGGGTATTGTCTGGTTTTGGCAAGCCTTCTTCAGGGCTCGTGTTTGTTAGAGTGACTTTTCTGATCCCAGCGTAGGACTGTTTCGTCTATACTCGGAGTCATCGGCTTCGGGCTAAAGCCGTCAAATCCTGAAGCTGGAACGACAGACCCCCCTAAGCCCTGAGGGCTCCATGTAGCCATACCGTATATGATACTTTGACCAACTTTGACCTTGAAATACTTGTATGGGGAGCGCTCCACGGCCTAATGAACCTCCAAGTACACCCTGAACCCTATGCCCTTATAGAATCCCTATAACCCCAAGATAGTAGAATTCTTATAAGGAACCGTAATAAAGGTCCCAAGGTTTCTTAATCTGGCTCCTACATTACACCCTGAACCCTTAAACGTGATCACGACGGTAGAGCTGGCTGGCCTGGTGTCCGATGAGGGGTTTCCCAAAGGTCTTCCGAGCACGCGCATACCTCCCAAGTGCGGAAGGTCAGGGTTCAGGGGTTCAGGGGTTTAGGGTTTAGAATTCAGGGATTAGGGTTTAGGGTTTTGGGGTTTAGGTTTAGGGTTCAGGGATCCGGGTCTCGCTTTGACATGGTTCCAGAGTGGTGGGGTGTAGGGGTAGGAGTTTCGGCTTGTTGTGGTGTGCTCGTTGCCCTGGCGATGCCTTCTGACACAGAATAAAGTTTTTGGGTTTAGGGTTTAGGGCTTAGGACTCAGAGTTTACGGTTCGGTCTTCAGGGTTCGAGATTTGGCTTCAGGGCCCAGGCTTTAGTGTTTAGGATTCACAAGGTTGAATTCATTAAAGCCAGCAAAGGCCACTGCGTTGCCCAAACGATATCCATGCTGCCCTGCGGATCCAGCTACCTTCCAAACCGCAAGCCGTGCATCATCAAACCCATTATTCATCGTCGTAGTCACAGAGTCTATGGCTTAACTTAACGGCTTAACTGTCAAGGAAATGAGCCGGGGAAGGAAGCCCCGGAGATGCAGCAAGACGTAAACCCAGATGCCAAGCCCTAAGCCCTAAACCCGAAACCTGAACCGGAAGACGTGAAGCCTTACCCAGACGCTCCATAGTAGTTCCTTTTTGGGATTACCTTATAGAACTCTATACATGAACCCCAAAAAGGAACTACTATGGAGCCTTAGGGTTCACCACAAATTCAAGGGCCCTGAAGTGGAGCCCTGACACCCTGGGCGAGCCTGATGGCATCTTCCAGACAGCACCGTGACATGCGACACGCCGAGACGGCCATGCTGAAGCGCTCATTGTTGAAGTTGAGCATGATGGGCAGAAAGCCTGGCAGCGTGCAGACGGTCTAGGGTTCTATCGCCCCTGAAACCCGAAACCCCCAAGCCCCTAAACCATTATTCCGAAACCCTGAACAGTGTGAACAAGACCCTTGAGCACCGCCGGTCCGCACCTGAAAACCCAAAACATGCGCGGCCCCCCAAAACCGGACACCTCTCTTTTGGTGGGTGCTGCAAGATTTGGGAGTTGCCGAAAACTAGGCACATCATATGCTGGGGTCCTTATAATAAGGATCCTACCATTTAGGGTACGATATTAGGGTTCCCTATTTTCGGAAACCCCCACTGAGGTCTAATATAGGGGCCTAAGTAATTCGACCGGATCTTCAGAGCAGCCTTCAATGTAGGGATCCAACGGGTGGTTGCCCAAGCTTGGGTCACTCTTCGGGTCCCAACTATAGGGTTTAGGGTTTCGTATTTAAGAGTAGAATCATATACAGGGTTCCCCAAAAGGACCATGATTTTGGCAGTGACCCAAATGCACAGCAAAGCTTACGTTTCAGCGGATTAGATTGTGGATCAATGCCATGCTGAGGAAAGTTTTCTAACAGGAAATTGAACCGCGATCTGTACAAGCCTGAATAATAACTAACATAATTCCTTCGGACTCCTTATGGTAACAATATAAGAAGTAAAACCCTTTCCGGATTACCAAAGCCCGTATATTATATTGCCCACGTTGAGGCTGTGGGTTGCAGCCACTACGCATGTCTCGAAAATTCGGCAATGGATGAGATCCCAGAGTTGATAAGGAGGAGACCTCCAGGCGCTGATAGCTATACATCAAAGTCCCTATGTGAGGTATCTGATGTGACAAAAGAGCGAAGACCCTATATGATGATTGTGATGATGCTGGTGACGATGGACGGTATGCAGTTCTTTACTACGGGGTCCCTGCGCAACGCCCCGCGTGCACACCTCTAAGAGCCTCCTTCCTGGGTGCGAGCATTGGTTCGGCCTTGGTTTTCCTGGCCCAAAAGATTCTCCACAGGCACACGCACGTCCTGAGATTGCAACATAGATGCTTCCGGTTTATTGCAAGAGCGGACAAGGATTTCACAGCTGAGTTGGTGGCGAGGGTTCTCATGCTTGCACCGGCTCGTCTGCGTCGACGAAACAAAGGAAGAGAGAGAGAGAGAGAGAGAGAGAGAGAGAGAGAGAGAGAGAGAGCGAGAGACAAGGTTAAAATCGAAAGCCTAGTCCTGGTCGATGCCTCGACTCTTGCTACTATCTTTATCTACCTGCTAACTCCTCCAAACAGAATGGTTTGGATTGCCTTCTTGTTGTTGATGTACAGTCGGAACACCTCGAACCTGCCTTTGGCTGCTTTGCTCTTTCTGAACCTTCTACAGTGCTGCAGCCGAGGATCATTCAGAGCTACCAGGGTGGTGCTGCTGCAAAGCCAGCCTTGAGTGGCCAGCCGCTTCAGCTGTACGCCCGGGAAGTCTCTGTGAATCATCAGCAGGGAAATCCCACCTGGGTTTAAGCAGGTTTATGAGGGTTTAGGGGTTTAGGATCCCATCCTACGACCGACACGTTGCCCTCAATAGATGTTGAGCTACTGCGCCGTGAACTCTGGGCCTCATACATAGGAAATAGGACCTTAAGACATCGGAGATGCCATCAACATGGGATCCTGCTTTGGATTTCATGCCACAATCCGAGCGACGGTTGCGTTTGAATAAGCCCGGCTGATCGAGAAGCGATTGCACATGGGAGTTATTCTTAAGCCTTCTTTTGTCAGGGATTGTTACGATGAGAAACCCTGCGGCCAATAGACCCCAGGTAGATAGCACCTAAAACTCCCAAACCCTGCATGCTTAAATCCCGCATCCCTGACATTCCCGTCCCCAAACGCCATGTCGGGGCACCTAAGCCAGGTGGTCCGGTGCGCACTCCAACCGTGAAGTAGTCGGCGTTCATCCCACCAGAGATGAAAGTCTTTTGGCCATTCACGACCTGGGTCCCCAAGCAGCCCCCCAATTAACGAGGGAACCCTTATATAGTTTCTACGATTTGGTTCTAGTAAGGAAACCCAACAAGAAAAAGTACGAAAAGGTACCACTGGGGAAGCTAGCAACCTTTGGGCTTTGGGCCAGGGGTTGAGGGTTTAGGGCTCACTGATGGCTGGAAGAAGCAGAAAGAGCACTGCACCCTCAAGCTTGAACACTGAGCCCAAAAGCTTTAAGTCGTTTCGTGTTGAAGGTATTGAGGGTATTCGGAGTTTAGAGTTGCGGGTTTAGGGGTAGGATCCCGTAGACTTGAGGGAAAGTATCTGGCGTTTAGAGTTGCAGGTTTAGGTCTACGGTTTCGATCCCGCTAACTTGAGGGCTCTTCTTGCTTTGCGGCTGTCCGGCTCCTAAACCCTAAACCCTGGACTCTAAGCCCTATAAGCCCTCTGCAAACGAGATGCATAAACGTCACCCTCTCTGACCGCCGTAGTCTGCAGGGCCGCTACGTCGGAGCCGGCATTGGGCTCCGTGATGGCAAGGGAGCAGTGCTTCTTGCCAGTGATGATGTCCTGCAAAATCTAGGGTTTAGGGAGCCTTCGGCTGCCTAAACCCTAAGGGTCCATGTATCCAAATGATAGTATATGCTTTGGCCTTCAAGTAGTCCCTATATAGGTACTTTGGGGCCGAAGTATATTCTACTGGGATACATGGACCCTGAGGGAAAGCACTGCATGTAGCACCAGCATCAACAGGATTATGGTACACTAAGATTCGGCCTGAAGTGCTTTTAATTGGGTTTGAACACCTTATGTGGGGGCTCGATAGATCAGGTTCGTGTTCCTGAAGTAAAAGTTGCGAAGTGGATGGTGGCCGTTGGTACTTCTAGTTGCCGGTGCCGACACTACCGTCAACGGCACTCTACTGCTACTGCCTATGTGGGAGAAAACCCTACCAAATCTTCGACCCTGTACAAACCCAAAGGGTCCTATGTACTGTTATGGAGGATACATCCCTAAGTCATAATAGTAATTCCTAGTATAGAAATCCTACATTCTACTAGAAAGGTACTTTGGACCCTTTGGGAAATCATGTTGTCGCAGCCCTGAAGCCGGTCCCACCCTTCCTTGGCATACTTTTGCTTCTGCTCCTCCGTTCCCAGCGCCAGAATTGGAGGCCTCGGGTGGCACAGCTCTTCGAACACGCGCGCGAAGTCGGCATCAAGCCCAGGAACTCGTAAGCCTTGAGACCTAAATCACAAGGCCTGAAACCAAACGGATCTATGCCATCAAACCCAAAGGCTACTGATACAGGGCCCTTCATGCTTCGAGTGGGGTTGTGGTGCAGATTGTCGTGTAACTATCTTCAGAGCACCCTCAGAAGGGATAGCACAGGAGAAATGGTCAGGCTCCTAGATTGTTAATTCTTTGTCCCTACCAGAAACCTTTTAAACACAGAGGCTTCTCAGTCAGGCATATGGAACTTCGGATTTGCCCGAGGCGCATCGAAGTAAATGCATCCGATTCACTGCCTACATAGCGTACAAACCTGATTCATACGAAGCCTCGGGTCTTTGTAATTGGAGTTCTCTACGCACATAGCTTAGGCTTTAGGGCTCCCATAGGGTAATTCAGGGGCCTTATATACTTAGAATGGGGATTTGGGGTATGTTGTACCATGTTTGAAATAAGGAACCCCCAAAATCGTATAGGTAATTATTGAGGCCAATATAGTATCGTACAGGAGCCTCCTGTGAACTGGGCAGAGGATATCTTCCTAGGTAAATCCGCGAACTAAATAGGACAAGAACAGAACCCTCCAGTGAACTCCAGACATTTGGAACAGATTTTACGGATGATTAGGGCTGCCGCTTCAGGGGCCTGGTGCTTATAGTTCTAGTAGTCCACCTGTAAAGTTAGTGCCTGCAACCTGAAGTCTAGGGCCTAGACCCTAACCCCTAAACCCTAAACCCCTAAACCGCCTAAACCCTATCCCCCTAAACCCCTGAATCCCTAAACCCTACACCGTAAACCCTATGCAACCCGAAATCTAGGGCCAGCATCGCAAAGTGGCAGAGCAATGCCGTGCGTCAGCAGCGAGGCGATCAACCCCCCCGCGCAAAGGCGGCCCAGTTCATCCTCAGGCTGACTAGATAGGGTTTACCCCATGGGTCCAAGCATCTGATAATCATATACTCTCCGAAATCCTAAACCACATAACTACTATCCTAAACCAGAATACCTAATTATTGGATCCTTTGGACCCTTAGGGTTAAGGCTTAGGGGCTTCAGATTTAGGGTTTCGGGGTTTAAGGGATTAGGGCCGATTCGGGCTTAGGGGGGTTAGGGTTTCGGAGGTTCAGGGTTTAGGGTTACGGGGCTTTAGGTTTGGGGACTGCGGGCTATGGGCTGTAGAGGCTTGCAAGAAAGGATTACCGATAACTAGCTAGTTTCGATGAGCCCTAAATCCTAAACCCTAAACCAGGTTTAGGGTTTAGGATTTAGGGTCTTTCTGCCGGTTACCTTGCTTCTTTCCTGAGGGATCCTACCCATGACAATGGCCGGACTGTGTGTTTTACAGTCTCATGATGCGTTTGCCTCACCCAAACCCATAACCCCTACAGCTTCAAAACCCAGCAACCCAAAGCCACTTTCCCCCAATGACGCTAAACACGAATATCCCACCCAAACTCAATCGCGACGCACATATCCCCAAATCCAACTCTGCTGCCCGATAGTGGTCCTGTATAAATAAAACCCTCAAAGCCCTGACAGTGAAACCCTACACCCTAAACCCTACACCCTACACCCTTACACACGAAACCCCACACCCTAACAGCCCTTCGACTCGATTCAGTGGAGGGTCCGTTGAACCGTTCTGGGACCTTCCCTCCCCTGAGGATCCTCTTGCCGAGGGTCATTGAGGATGAATCGGTGCCAAACGTCCATCGCGGCAGGCTTCGTGCCACCTCGGGAAATCCACAGACTTCAAAACCCACTAGTTGCCGGAATCTGTACCTTGAACCATAGCAGGGAATCCAAACAACACAGGATACACTGGAGAATTTCTGTTAATTTACTTTGGTGCACCTGGGGATTTCCATGGACTTAGACGCTAAGCCCTAACCCTACACACCTAATTAAACACTGAACTCTAATAGTACCCTAAACCCTAAACTCTAGCACAACCCTAAACCCTTAACCTAGTGTCCTCTACTACAACCTAAAGAGGCTACTGACCCCAGATCCTCCGCAAACCGCAGAAGGCCCCAAACCTGACCCGTAAACACCCTGAAACCCTAAACCCCTGGCCTAAATCTCTTAAACCCTAAAGTAAAGTCCTAAAGCCCAACATCCTAAACCCTGAAACCCTCAACCCCGAAACCTAACCCGAACCCCTAAACCTCACCAAACCCTAAAACCCCAAAACCCTCAAACCCTAAACCCTCAAAGCCCTAAACCCCTACAAACCTAAACCCTAAAAAACTGAGAAACCCTAAAACCTGAAGAACCTGCCTATTTGAGGGCTTATATCAGGAAACCAGAAAAGGGAAATTAGGGAACCCTGGAAAGGTAGGTTCTTCAGGTGAACCCCCAAAACCTGAAGCGGGCGACCCAGATCTTCGGGGAGGCCGGGCGCGTAGATTCCCGCGGCATAGGCCCGCCCATGGAGCTCGGCCGGAAAGGAACCCGCCTTGCGGTTTAGGGTTTAGGGTTTAGATGTGGCGCTTTCGGGGCTTCGTGTACAAACTATAAAAGGTACCCGGAGACTCCAATATCCCTTAATTTAAGGAATATTCCTTAAATCATATTAGGGATCTTATTATAATTTAAGGAATATTCCTTAATTAAGGGATATTGGAGTCTCTTCTGAGACCCGGAAAGCGGCTTAAACTCCCAACTTGGAATCGCATCCTGGTGTTTGTCCGATGGTTCGGGCCGCAAATACGGCTTTGCTCTAGGCCTTGAGCTCGGGTGTTTGGAGTTACGGCTTGAAGAGTTTATGATGTAGGTGCTTTTTTGGTGGTTCGGTTTTCATCAAGGATTTTGGGACTGTTGGGGTTTGGGAGATATGAGGCGGACCTTTGTAGGAATCCCTAAAAGGACCGTTTACAACTTGGAGCTTCATAGTCAGCTATTTTTTCGAACGCGCAGGGCACAGTCATGGTTAGTTAGAAGTGGGGTTATAAGTCCCCCATATGGGTTATAACTATAGTTACCCTACTTATAACCACTACTTTTAACTACCCATGAACCTCCAGGTACTTCAATTTAGGGCGTTCTGCTCTGGAGCTCCTGGGCTAAGTCGGAGTCGGCCCTAAAGCCTAGGGAGGTGGTGGGTTTGGGAAAACACGAAACTGACTGATTACAGCCCTGAAGCCTCCAAACTCCGACGAAAGCTGAAGCCCTGCAGCCCTAAATCCTGAAACCCGAAAGCCCGATGTTGTCCATCTTTGCGTGTCCTAGAGACGAGCCTCCTCCCAGTCTGAAATGTTCGGCAGCAGCTCTTCCTGCACAAATGTTCTACACGGGTCTGTAAAGGGTTCAATATATAAGGGTTCTTACAAGGGGCTCTGTAAGGGACCTATGCCGGGCCGGGGGCTTGAAAGCCCTAAGGCTCAAAAACATCCGAAAGCCTTACATCGTTTCGTTTTCGATCCCAGGAGCCTCAAAATCTGAGTCCTTAGCTAGGATGCCCAGTAACCTAGGAATAAAATGAGCTCCCTTTTTGGTATTGGGTACCTTTATAAGGAACCTAGGACTACAAAAAGGGAATAAGGGTGCTGCTGGGCATCCTAGTTAGAGTCCTTAAGAGTCTTAGGGCCTTAGCCCCTGAACCCTAAACCCTAATCTTGAAGGGTTGCGGGTCCTCCACAAAACCTCGAACCAACTTCTGGAAATCCGCATGGCTCTGCGAGGTTGCTGCCAACTTCTCGTCCCAGTCCCAGAACCATTCCTGGTTTAGGGTTTAGGG